TCAGGCTGGTGTCGAAGCACTAGACTCAAGCGATCCTCCCACCTTGGCCTCCCAAAGTGCTGGAATCACAGTCTTGAGCCACTGTGCCCGGCCCCTCCCTGGCTTTTGAGAAAGTGTAGCCCCTACTCCAGCACTCTCTGCGCCTAAGTCCTGGTTGATAAAACAAGCCTGGACCTGCCTCGTCCTGCCGCTGGGGACATCATCGAATGTATGGATGTGTGTGGGAAGAGGGCTGGCCTCTGTTTTTTGTGGAAAGAACATTTGCATCATGGACCCACTAGCCTGTGAGACTCTTGCCCTCAGCCCTGAAATTAGCTGGGCCCAGGAACAGGTGGATGGCCCGGCCACGCCCCTGAGAAGGGGAGGCCCTGCCTGAAGCCCCACCCACACTCACTCTGCTGGTCTCTGTTCTCCCGCTTGGAGGCCTTGGAGGCCTTGGGTGTCTGCTCCTCCTGGACAGGCACGGTCTCCAGGAAGCAGGCTGCGAACTGCTGCAGTACCTTCAGGTCGTCGCCTGCGCAGTCTCTGTCAGCTGCCCACACACAGCCGATCTTGACGGGCTGCAGGACGCGAAAGCGCTTCCCCTTAGCCAGGAACTCGTCCCACTCCTTGGCCTTCAGTTTCTGGCGGACCTTATGGTTCTCAGGGTCGGCACACTCCTTGTGGGTTAGAAAGCAGAAGTTTATTTGGGGTTCATGCTCCCCTATGCCCGGGCACTCTTTTGAGGTTCCAGTCTCAGCTGGCTGGGGAGCCAGAGGAAAGGACAGGGGCGCAAAACTCACAGTGTCAAGGCCAGGGCAGAGCACACCATGCGCTGGCTGCCCCTCTTCCAGATGGAGTAATTCACACCTGGTCTCCTTTGGGAGAGTCACAAGATATTTCTGAGCTCACCCATGAGGCCTCTTTTAACACCCCTCTGAATTTCTGGTGAATGTGTGATCGTGGAGCTGTTTAACAGGGTCGGGTGCCTACCCACATGGCCCGGGCATCTGGCAGACACATGTAGGGCCTGAGACCACTCTCTGACAGACAGTTCAGGCCTCGGTGGTCAGATATGCACAAGGAATGCATAGCCCTCCAGCACGACCATGAGACAGTCCCACCAAATCCCCACTTCCCAAACAACAGGCCTGAGATACTCCCACCAAATCCCCACTTCCCAAATGACAGGCCTTCAGAGCCCCGAAACAACTTGCTTGAAAGAAAGTTCCTGCCGGGTGTGGTGGCTCACCTGAGGTCAGGAGTTCAAGACCAGCCTGGCCAACATGGTGAAACCCCATCTCTACTAAAAATACAAAACTTAGCCAGTTGTGGTGGCGCACGCCTGTAGTCTCAGTTACTCAGGAGGCCGAGGCAGTAGAATTGCTTGAACCCGGGAGGTGGAGGTTGCAATGAGCCAAGACCAGGCCATTGCACTCTAGCCTGGGTAACAGAATGAGATTCCGTCTCAAAAACAAAAAAAAGAAGAAAGAAAGAAAGAAAAGGAAAGAAAGTTCCACAACCTTACAGAATCCAGAAAGGGGTGGCAGACAGGTTCACCTGCAGAGATGTGGGGAATCTTCTGGAGAGACAGGGAAGTTCTATGTTTTATTTTGGGTGGTGGTTACCCACATTCACTTGATTGTTATAAGTCATCAAATGCAACACTTATGATGCACACATCTTGCTGCATGCTGACTGTACGTCAGCTAGGGTGGTTTCCAGCCTTCTAACCCAGACCACGGCCACGCTCCCTCACCAGGGTGTCTGCTCCTAT